ACAACACTGAACCATGAGGCCCATCAAGCGGCACTGGCCCTTTCCTTGATGATACAGAGAGATGTTGGTCTTCCAACCACTTTGCCCTTGTTCTTACAGGCCCGAAGAATGCACACATTGAAATGGGCTTGAGGTACAGGCTTATCCTTTTTATTTTATTTTCATTTTTAGGACTCCAGATTCTTGTTAGATGTTAGGGATTATATTGATTTCTCGGAATAATATGCTCATTTAACATACACAGGAGAAAAATTAAAAGGAGTATTATCGTGAAATTTAAATTTTATATAGTGCATGTGTGCTAATTTTCCTTTTTTTCTTGAATTTTCATCTCTGTGGAGAGGTGACGTGAGTGGATCGGGGAATCAAATATAAAATGTTCATAAACTTATGAATTAAAAATCCAGTTAGGAAGAATCAATCTTCCTATCTCTATCAAGGATTCTAAGTAACTTTGAACTCGCATTGATAAGAAAATTGTTCTGCAGAAGCTGGTGCTTTGCACATTCTCAACATGAATATATAATCTAAAAATTCACACTATATATTACATGCAAAGTTATTAAATATTATTTAGCCATAACATGAAAATGAATTGAGCGCGTTAATTCTGTTGATGAGGTTTATTAAAATAATATAATTTTAATAAAAAAAATTAAAAAAGTTTTGATTGGGTGACCAATCAAGTCGGATTAAGTTGTTTTTTTTATATATAAAAGAAAACAACTAGTTATCACATCAATTCAGGTTTTTGTCTAGAATCCATTTCTGCTATGTTCGTTCCATTCTACTTCCAGTTGCCTTTCGATTCATCAAGTGCTCTTTTGAATTAGAAAATGGGGATATGGAGAGTGCTTCGGCTTTTAGTGCTTGACCACCAACCTTGAGAAAATAGCTGGCGGATCTATGTATTGCCCACTCAATTCCAAGTATCTAATTCCAATGATAAAAAAAGATCCAAAGTTCAGCATGGGATTGAAATGGTTCACTGGGCTAAAGTCCCACATGATTAATTGTCTCCCCCATGATTTGGACATGCGATTCCATGCACTATGATCCTTGTCCATGACAGGCAGCTTCTGTTTTTCTAGCATTTTTAAGATAAAAAAAGACCACCTTTGTATTGTATGTACGTAGTTATTTGGCCATTGATTCTATCATAGGCATGATGAAAAGATGAACAGGTTAAGGTTTCTCTCGTAGGTGTAAAGACTGGTGATGTATATTGTTTGATAGGGGAAAATGGATCAAATACAGGTCGCACGTAAAATGCGAAGGGAATTTGCATTATTAAACATCATGGGGAATTAGGAATGCATAATCATGCTTGGAACCTTAGTTGTGAATGTTTGTGGGGGACAAAATCAATTCCCAAATAGATGATGATTAATCATGAAGCATGAGGTTTGATTAGAGGAAATGGATCCCACCATTATTAATTTCGAGGATTAAGAAGGAGAAAACTTGGTATTCCTTCAGCTATGGTAAGTTCTTTCTTGTTTCTAATCAATTACAAATTACAATAAATAAAATAAAAAAGGTCAACTTTTATTCTCCACATATTTCACTTTGGATCTGCACATTAAAATTATTATTTTATTCTTTTTAATAAAAACTTTATGATCCCGTATAAAGGTTAAATGATCTTTTTATAATATTAAATTGTCATTACAAATATCATAGGACATCTAAATTCTTTCACTTTTAAAACATGCATTATAATTACTAGCATGCCCTTGAAAGCTAAGTTAATTGAACTCAAAGATAAGGGATATTTCAGACATTTTAATTTTTCACACGGTAAAATCTTCAAATCACCTTAATTTTTCTTAATGTCACTATCAAGGTGTTTTTTGTAATTTTATATACTTTTTTTTGCAATTGAAAAGTTGTTTTAAAACAAAAATATCATTTAAAATAGAACATTGTTGATGTGTCAATGTGTAAAAGATGTTTATGTTTTTTGAGCAACATATAAGGTACCTTATCGTGGGTAAACATTGTATTCAAGGATAAAGTTCGATATATCTTGTCATCTTGTTACCTCTTTTATTGTGAAGCTTTGAGTATGTTTTATCTATACTTTTTAAGCAACATATAAGGCACCTCATCGTGAGCAAGCATTGTATTCAAGGATAAAGTTCAATACATCTTGTAACCTTGTCATTTCTTTTATTGTGAAGCTTTGAGTATGTTTTTTCTCCTCCTTATTTTCTCTCTCTCTCCAACATTAAAAAACATGCTAGCATTAAAAAATAAAAAAATAGATAGTCATTTATTGATTATATCACATTTATTTTTTATATTAAATTTGATTTTTTTTTCAACTTCACCCTTTAGCATTTTATTTTTAAATAAAATCCAATATTTATTTTTTTAATTGTTATCATTTTTTTCCTTATATTTTTCTTGATTGAAATTATTTTTTATTTTATCTCTCAATATTTTATTTTATTTTATTTTTATATCTATTTTGGTATTCATTCTTTTTTATCCTTTTTTTCGTCAAGTTTACCTTTTATTTTTTGTTTTCTCCTCTTTCATCTTTTTTCTCGCCTCAATTTCAAAAAATGTGCTGCTCTTGGAAAAATTAAGAAAAAGGTGGTTATTTGTTGATTATTTGATTTTCAGTGGTTTAATTGTATCAAATTTAATTTATTTATTTTTTATTTTATTTATTGATATTTGATTTTTATATCAAATTTTTTACCTTTTATTTTAAATGTTATTTGTTTTTTTCTTACACTTTTCTTAATTGAATTTTTTATATATAATTTCATTCTTCAATATTTTATTTTATTATCAATTTTAGTCTTCATTCATTTTAATTTTCTTTTATATCCTTTTTGGTGGATCCTTTATTGATTAATTTTACCCTTCATTGTTTGGTTGGTTGATAGTCTAGCTTCGTGATTTTTTCAAGTTTACCTTTTATGGTTCAATCCAACTTTATAACATGTGTCACGGGTTTAAGAGATTTTACCAGGTTAGATTTGGTTTTTTTTAAGTTATTTTTTAAAATTGATTTTTCTCAACATTGTGTTTGTTGGGATTTATATTCATGATTGTTTTAATTTTTTTAATGAATTTATTTCAATTTTATATTCGGATCATGGGTTTGACAAGCTTACCAGAAATGACTTGGACCTCTTTTTGGCATTGCTTTTTTTAGAAGTTTTATTTTTTTATAAGTTCTCCTCTTCAATACTTTGTTTGCTTTAGAATTAAGTTTTGTGATTTTATTCAATCTGCTCCCTTTTTTTTTGTATTAAATTATATTTAATTTTTTTAATTTTATTTGTTGTTAATATTTTTTTTATATGATTATATTATTAAATTAATCAAACTAATCAAATCTAGTCAAATTAATTACCTAAATTTTTTATATATATTTTCTAAAACAAGCGTGACCTTAATATATTTTTTTATATTAAAAAAATTAACTCAATCCGTAACCTAAAGCGAACCACTTATTTATCTAGTAAGTATCAGAGTTGTATTTAATCTATAATATACAAGACGACAAGAAACTATTATAAATAATTTGTGCTAATCTTGGTATTTCAATATACTAATTCGAACCAATGATTCGTGAAAAAGTCATAATAAAAATACCTTCACACGGAAGTCATGTGCAAAAGTCATATATAGGATAAAAATACCTTCACACGGAAGTCATGTATTATTGTATTGTGTATTGACAAGTCTATGTGTGGACTAAGGGCACGTGCTAGCTTATGTACACAAAAACTCAAGGCCATTGCAGGGACTAATGTGAATGTGTGGTTTTCACCGCAAAAGTACGATGGCTCAGTGAAGTGACCTGATGAATTGATAAATTCCAGTCGCTGCAGTATAAGTTTCGTGAATTCACACAAAGTTATTAAATTCTGTTTAGTTTAAATTAAAGTAATATTATTTTAAAAATAAAAAATAAATATTATTTAAAAATATATAAAATTAAAATGAATTTTGATGTTGTTTGAGTTTAATGAAATTAATTTTTACCTAACTTTTTAAAAATCCCAATTGAATTTTTAATTATTAATCCATTAACTTTTGCGTTGTTCGGAACCAGTCCTAAACAAACAACTTTAATAAAAAATTAATTTTTTATTAAAGTTGTATTTTTATATATTTAAATAACTTTAATGTGCTAGTATAAAATAAAATTTTATATTTTTTATTATAAAATATTTTAAAAAACAATCATTCCTATCTACTATCTACATGTTTAGATTAGATTAGATGAAGAGGAGTCTAAAGATCTCTGATTAATTAATAAAACAAGATGTTGATGGTTAGACAAAAGCATGTTCTTTGAGAAAAATATTGAGCAAGTGAGAATGCTTGCATGGGTCAAAAAGAGATGCTTTAGTAGAAATCAAAGGATCTAAGCTAGAAGGATGGCAAAGCAGTCAGGTCTCTTATCATCTAGCAAAAAGCAAGAAAAAATAAGAATTTGTTTAATGAGTGACAGGCTATATATGCACTTGTCTCATTGGGCTCCCAGTCCTTTTCCAGCATATGTTCACACATTAATTCCTTGGACACACGATTGAATACCATAGAAAGTACAATGAAATGGCGTCAGAGAGGATCCTTGATTAATTTGAAATTTGAAATTTGTTTGTTTCTGATAGCATCCTTCACACATTAGTCGCCGTTAATTAGTTCTTCCGTGTAAAATTCTTTGAATTATTTTGATGGGTTAATGTTAAAAATTATTAATTTAATTTGTTTTTAAATTAAAAAAACTTTAAAAAACAGCTCTTTTCGTTGTTAATTTAAGGGTTAGACAGTATCAAAACTTAGCCCTTCATCATTTTCTACACATGGGGTCCTGCATGAAAGCGAAATGCACTTCCAGATCCCAAGGTTTCAAAAAACTACGATAATGGAGTGATAATAAAGTGAAAGTGTTTCGAAACTTATAATCTCTCACTTTTGGAGGCTTTGAGATTTGGATTCTTTACCTGATCAGACGAAACTCATAAAAGGGGAAGAGAGAAGGAATCGATATCTTTCATATGATGCCAAGTATTCATGTCATCATGTGTGCAGTATCTTTCTTTCCTCTTTTGCTGTGCTGTGCACATATGGCATAATGAGCTTATGCCTTGGATCATAGACAACGTGGATGGATGATATTCATTTCCACTCACACTACTTTAGATTATGTATATGATTAGATTGTGAAAAATAATCAAGAAGGTGATTAATTAAGTAGAATTAGCAAATAGAAACTGCTGCTGCTGCATTTTGATGTTCCTTTAATTTCAGCAGGACTCTCATGTTGAATCTACATAACAGAACTCCATGGATCCTCTATCTAGCAACTCCTCTATCATTTGCTCTATATGGTGATCTTCAAGTGACTTAAAATGTTCTTGATGGTCATCGTTCCCCGCTTGACTCCCCCCCACAACCCAATTCTCCTCTTGCCATTTCGAGCCGTTTTCGACAGTTTTCCCGACAATGCCATGGCTAGTGCCAAAACTGGTGCATTGTGCATCATGTGATTGTTTTGTTACATTTTTCTTGGTTGCTTGTAGAGAAGTCATGTGACATTTATGTAGCTTGGCTGCCAAGGTAGCTGAGAGAAGCTTTGATGATGATGATTGGGGTTCGTTGGGGTTGTGAGGGAAATTTGTACGTGCTTTTGGCCCGCACATTAGCCTTGCTGCCTCGTCGTATGCCCGTGCCGCGTCCTCGGCCGTTTCGAATGTGCCTAACCATATTCTAGTCTTCCTGCAGACCAAAAGAAACACGAAACGTTTCATTTAGAACAAGAATTGAAACAGTTCGAAACTCGCTCAAGACTGCCATTAGTGCAGAAAAACAACATAAAAGATCTGGGATTCATGTGTGTTCCAGTAAGAAAAACGTTTCTTAAAGTTTTCTTTTGGACATGTAAAGAAACCTTTCTTTTGATGAAAGAAAGAGCTAGAAACGTCTAAAGAAAGTGGAATTACAGGAGAGGGTGGCGAATTTCTGAAACCCAAGAACCCCAGTGCCTTTGACGGACGCCACGATATCGCTGTTGTGGTCTAGTCATGGTGCTTGAGATGAGAAACGTTTCAAATGATTTAGAAGTCTAGTAAGCGTGAAATGTTCTAAAAGAAGCTTGCGAGAGCGTATGAGGAGAGGGATTGAGAGTGGCAGAGTGATGGAGGTTTATATAGGGGCCTTTTGCGGCCATAAATTAGCTGGTGGGCCCATTAGGGTCACTACCGCCCTTTCGGGCTTTCCTTCTCTCTTGGTTAAAATCAGGTTCCATGACATTTTCACACCTGAATCATTGAGGTTGTGGTAAGATAAGACTTCGTTTACTAATTTGGTCTATTTTGTCCTCGTATTATCATCTACTAAGTAAATTAAGGGCTGTTATTTTACAGATAAAAATATAGAGAGAAAAAAATTGAATGATGCATCATATTAGAGTGGACAATACTGGATAAATAATTGTTTTGTCATGTATTTGGTGTGTTTTGAATTGAATTAAATAATTTATTTTATTTTATATTTGTTAGACATTATACAAGACTCGACCGATTCAAGATTTAGATCATTCTGAGTTTAAAAAAATAAAGCGATGATTAATCTGATTTGACCTGGTTAAAGACTCAGGTCAACTTATAACCTGATCATCCCAAGCTAAGTAAATTAAGGGCTGTTATTTTACAGATAAAAATATAGAGAGAAAAAAATTGAATGATGCATCATATTAGAGTGGACAATACTGGATAAATAATTGTTTTGTCATGTATTTGATGTGTTTTGGATTGGACTAAATAATTTATTTTATTTTATATTTGTGAGACATTATACAAGACTCGACCGATCCAAGATTTTGGATCATTCTGAGTTTAAAAAAATAAAACGATGATTAATTTGATTTGACCTGGTTAAAGACTTAGGTCAACTTATAACCTGATCATCCCAAGATAAACCATTGATAAAAAATTTATTGAATCTTTCTTATATTTTTCTGGTTAGAACGAGGTTGCTTTAATTTTTTTTAAAATTTTGGTCAACTTGGGTTGACCTTTCCAAGTCGTGACTCGGGCTTTATCTCAAGTCGACTCCCGAGTAAAATTTTAAAACCATGACAATAACTATTTTTATCCTTATATTGACTCTGTTTAATGGTCATCTCAACCTATGACTTGAGTCTGGTTTCGGGTCAACCCTTGAATCAGGTTTTAAAATTATGAAATAACTATTTTTATTTTATGTTCACTCGGGTTAATGGTCAACTTGACCCATGACCCAAACTTAGCTCCAAGTTGACCTTAAATTGAGTTTTAAAATTATAACAATAATCAATTTTATTCTTATATTGACTTATGTCAATGATCAAACCCCATCCAATAATTATTGTTATCCTCACATTGACACAGATCAATAGTCAACTCAACTCGTGACTCGTGTCTAACCCCAGTTTAACCCATAAGTTAGGTTTTGAAACTATGATAATAACTTTTCTTATTCTTCTATTGATCCTAGTCAATGGTCTACCTAGCTTGTAATCCAAGTCTCGCCCAGGTCAACTCCTAGTCGAGTCTTAAAATTATAATAATAATTATTTTTGTTCTTGTGTTGACCCAGATTAACTAGATTAACCCTTATATATAGAATTGGATAGGCTTTTCTTATCTTTTTTGACAGTTATTTAACATACCAAATATTATTTTAATATTGTTTAGAGAAACAACATTGATTAAATAATTTTTTATTGTTATATATATTTGAGTTATTAAAATAATAATCGTGAATGATGTATCAGCTATTTTTAATTATTTTTTATTTATACCACAATTAATTTTTTCCCTGCCTCGAAATGACATCTACACCATAACATCTAAGCTATTCGTGAAATTCAAGAATATACCATGAGTGACGTAGCAAATAATTGTTGGGGGATACAATATACAAAATTCATAGTGCATGTCTTATTCTTTCACAGTCTCAATAATTTAGGGGTCAAATAAATGTAATTAAACCCTTAAAGTCATCATCCCGTGGGTAAAATGAGTTTCTGCCAGCCCTTTTTGGTAGCTTTCCAGGCGAATTTAAGAACCCACAAAATCATACAGCAAACAGAAGCCCATAATTAGCACGAGCCTGGAATTATGTTGTTCTATCGTGCACATTGCTAGAACCTGTATGAATATGTGCTTTCAATGACAGATTAATTATGTGGGCACGGACCTTCACATTGAACCATGATAACAATACGGCTTGTTTTCTTAGCGTAGTAAATTAATAGCATCTATTTTCATACTTCTAGACCTCCCTAGGCATAAATATCACGAGCATAATTCAGGTGACTGTATCTTCCATTAAAGAGGTAAGTCGAGCAACAGTATACGTTCCTCCTTTCCTTACTCCCAGGTCTCTTCATAATTAGCATATTTTACCTCAAAATCTACACCACCCAGATGTCTGTTTTTAATGTGGTAGTTAGAGGACAACGGTACGTGGCTTATATAATTTAACCGTGTTTTTTAAAAGTTTTTTTTTTTTTTGTTTTCAATTATACTTTTATATTTTTCAGATGATTTTATATGCCAGTATTAAAAATAAATTTTAAAAAATAAAAATATATATTATTTTAATATATTTTTAAATAAAATTTGCTTTAAACAACAACGTCAATAACTCACAACAACCCAAGATCTGCCATGCAACAGTTAGGTGAAGGCAGAAACCATGTCTGATGTATTTTTCAAACCCATGCCCTGTCTCTCTCTCTGTCTCTCTCTTTCTCTCAGGCTTGTAGGCTAGCAGCTGCTATTTTTGACCGTAATGATTTTGCTGCATTAGGCAATCCATGTGATGCGAAACATGTAAGATCGATTTAGACGTCAATCGTTTGCCCATCTGCATGCTTCACTCACGATGTGTTGTTAGGTCACACCCACATGCAGCTGCTATTTTTGTTGTGCAACTACCACTTAGATTGCCCAAAGGAGAAGGGCCTTCTGCGTTGGAGATCAAATGCATGTTGAATGAATATGGAGCTGAGATGATACCTTACATCATATTTCTTGGAACTTTTCACAAGATGATGGACGATTTTGCATAGATTCGGGAGAAATGATTTGCTACTACGTGCGTAATGTCTGTCGATCGATTCATATACTTTGAATTTATTTATTATGTATTGAATCGAAAAGGCCAAAAGTGGATTCCATAAGCCAATTAATTCCCACATAAATGCAATATAGAAGGGCGTAGTACTGTACGCTTGGTTCAAGAAGTCCCTGTGATTTTGATTTATGTCACATTGACCCCTATGATCTTAGAAAATGTAATTGGATGCTTGATTTTTTTAATTCAAGATTAAGCCGATCCCTCTCTCTCTATTCCTATAATGAAGTTTTTGTTTATTAAAATTCAAATAAAAAACTTAAGTTGTTAGGTGATCATATCTTAAAATATAATTTATATTATTGTTTAATATATTTTCTCGAATGAAAGCCTTTTAAACTTGAAACTCACGTGGATTCATACTAATATGTGTTTAATTTTTATTTAATAAATAAAAATTGTGAGTTTCAAATTCTTGACCTCTTGATTATATAAACTATGATATTATATCAAATAATCAATTCAATTTAAAAATTTAAATTTTAAGATAAAATTTAAAATATTTGAAAATAAAAGTTTGATCATGATAGGATAAGCATTGATTGGTTGAGAAGTTTGATCATTGACCATTATCTGGAACACAAGTCATGAATCATGGGTGCTAGCTAGCAAGGTGTGATAGTCAAATATCCATGTATACATACAATTCCTGGCGTGCAAAGTATTCTAAACTAAAAACCGCGAGGCTTCATTGAAGATGTTGAAGAGAAGCCCTTACCGGACACAATATGTATAGAGGGTTCTCACAAAGCATAATAAAAAAACGATAGCTAGGCCCCCAGATCGTCATGATCTGGAGTCTTTGTCTGTATGCGAGCTGGTAAAGCGTACATAGAAATCAACAACAATGGAGAAATCCCATGAAGAAAATCGTTTTCAAGCACTCTCTGAATTGGGCGATTGGCGTACGTGATCAAGGTGATCTCCTTTTGTTGCAAGCTTTTGGAACAAGAATTAAACATTCCAACATGCAAATCGACAAAAGAAAGAGACGGAACAAGTATGGTAGAAATTTCAACATCTATAGCAGAACATGTCCACCTAAAACTTGGGAATTTTACAAGGCAACAAGCTTGAAAAGGAGCCCCGTTCGCGACTTGGAGAAAAAGCAAAGATAACGCGTGCTGTGATAATCATACACAAGTCCAAAAAACAGGAGGAAAAAAAAAAGGTGATATTTTCTATGAAGGGAACAGCTCTTTCTTTTGTATACAAGGCATTATAATTTAGATGTTCCTTTCTTGACATTTACTCAAGCAATGAACAAGATTGCTGTCATGCACTTGAATTGTAATCTTGCATGCAGTTCCTAGCCTTCACAGAAAGCTTGATGGATGATCAGTGGGCCCATCCCCACTGCAATATTACACTCCAACATTGAGCTTGTTTTGCCCACTCATGGCATTGTTTTTGTTGTTATTAACTCTTCTTTAGCGTCAAAACTCCCACAAATTCAAATCCCACTGGCACGGCTTGCTTTTGTGTTTCTTCAACAACAATTGTTTTTTAATATTTAAGCAATCATCTTTATATTTAATCAGTCATTTGATACGTATGGAAGACAGAATCCACCGCTCATCGCTTGTCATGACTGCTTGCATGAAATCTTATCATAATAATTTATTTGCATGCGTATCAATTTGCATGAAATCATTATCCCTGATGTTCATATCAATTTGTCCCATTCCCATGAAATTAATTGTTGTATTTAATGTAAAAGGGAATTCAAGCTTCGATATAGAAACAAAATCAGCTATGCTGCTCATCTTCAAAAATCTCACTCCAGTATCGCTGTCGGGATCCAGAGACTTTTGTTGCCTGCAATTCAGCACTTCAAATTTGACCATCGTGAAGCTCCAGTCATACAAGACTTTACTGTATTTCTGTGTACTGTTTAACAGGACAGATTGCACACTCAAAGGACCCTGTTGATAAGACCACGAAAGATTTGCTGTTGATTTTCTCCCCATGAGGAAATGTAAGAAGATTTTCATC